GAAAGTCAATGTTGAGTGTTCTTAACTATGAGAAATAACCCAGCAAACCAATACACAATATCACCATGACAGGCTGCAACTGACTGGCTTTAGTACTTTGTGCAGGGGAACACGATGCTCTTTTAGATTGTGTGTAGACACACAATGTTATATGTTTTTAAGTCTTGACCTACAGTGAATTCCTAAAGCAGAAAAATATCATACAAATTAACAGAGCATAAACACTTGCCTGGATGAACAGGGAATTCTCTGTGATTTCAAGCTGAGCAGTATCATTCACATATGTTTATCTTATGTTATTAAAAGTGGATGAATTACAGCACCAGTATTTCTCTTCTTTCAACCTCAGTTCAAGCAGCATGGTTCAGATTCTTCCATGAAATGACCAGGGCCTGCAGGTACTTCCAGCCCAAGAGAGCAATAGCAAAGATGAGAACTGGGAACAGGTAAGCTACAGCAGTTTGTGAAGCTTTGCAACATGTCACTTCCTTGCTGTTGGGTCTTTTTTCCTTCCACCATTCTTCTCTCAAGTTTGGTAGAAATCACAGAATTGTTAAAGTTGGAGAAGACCTCTAAGGTCATCAAGTCCAACAGTCAACCCAAGACCACCATGCCCACTAACCTATGTCCCTAAATAGAATCATAGAACCATTAAGGTTGGAAAAGACCTCTAAGATCATCAAGTAGAGCCTGAATCCATCCCCACCTTCCTCAGCGCTACACATCCACAATTCTTGAAGACTTACAGAGACAGGACTGGATCAGCGGGTCCAAGAATCACCAGAGTTCAATATGAAATCAGGAAAATCAACTGAGAGAAATGCAGTGACAAAACTCTAGTGCCAAAATCTCCAATTGTAGATCTGGGAAAGTTGGGTGGCATTCCATACAGTGTTGAGGATTAATACAGAACAACAACAACGAGAGAAACTCAAAAGGTAAAGCCATCATCTTTTCAGTCTTTTTATTCTGCTGGGTGACTGCAAACGTGACAAAGTAGAAAAAATGGAAAACACATTCAATCAAAGACAACTGCTAGGTTTATAATTACCTCCTCAGTGTGTACCTGAGCTGTATGGGAACTGCTGAGTCACAGCCTGAACCTCTGATTTATCACCTGAGGCGAGCAATGAGTCAGCCACAGGAGCACAGGTGAATTGCCTTCACCTGTGCTGCCTGGCTGCACCCCTCCTAGACCTATTGAAGAGCTGGCTCTGCTGGAGCTCTGTGAGTGAGCCCAGGATACAGGTAAGCTTTCTATCTATTCTCTTTTTGTTATCATTGTCTGCTTTGCCAAACTCTCTTATTTATTTTGTGATTATAGCATCTTAATATTCATTGATTATATACTGAGCTGAAGCCCTTCTTGCTGCTTTTGCATGCGTTTTCTCCTCTCTCTGTTCTCTGGGTCCTTGTGGAATTTGCTCAGGACTCAATCTACACCAGAGAAATGCCTGATTAAAAAAAAAAAAAAATGGCACTGCTGCTGAGATTTTTTTTTTTAATTAAAAAAAGACTTCTCTAGAAACTTTTGGCTATGGATAAAATGAATTATTATTAATGGAAGCCTAACTTATTTTTCATGCTTGCATTCAGCAGCCTGTAAGAGGCCACACTTTCCCAGGTATGGGACAAGTCTCCGCTCAACCAAAGAGGTTCTGCAGATTTTGCCCTCATTAAAATCTTCCTCATGGGAGAGTATAAGGAGCTGGGAGAAGGCTGTCTGCTCTTCTTTACAGAGAAAAAGGCAATTAATTACATAAAGGCTCCACAAAATGCCTGAATGCAGTACATTAGATTAAGGAGACAAGAGACTAAAAATATGAATACAGGGAACAGAAAGTGCAGCAGATAAACAAGCAGCCTGAGCCTTTAATATTACTGATAAATAATCTTTTAATTAAAAGCCCAGCTGCAAAACAAATAGGAAATACTCCTCACAAAGACACTGAAGTCCAACCAACTTACTCCTAGTTAGGCAGACCTGAAGGTCAGACTGAATTCACTTCAGCAGAGGCGGTGGTAGCTTTGCCAGGAATAAATCTATTAATTTACTTTGGCCAATTGCCCTCGGTGGGATTTTTCATCCCTCCACTTTGAGTTCACCTGGATGTGTCTCCATGCTCTCCTTCCAGGCAATTTCAGCAAGCTTTTTTTTTTAAAAAAAGACAGAAACCTCTTAGCTTTCCTTCTCCCAAAAAGGTGGATTACTCCACTAAGTCCCTGCTGTAATCCACCTTCCAACTCCACAGCAATTAGAGGCCTGTTCTGCTGCTGCTTTTCATCTCATTGCCTGTGCCATGGAATTGTTTCACCCTCTGGATTGGATGAGTTTCTTTCCAAGGCAGGAATTGCCTATTTGTCATACTTTTATGCTGAGAATGAAAATAAAGATTAACATTGAAAAAAAAGCACAAAGCAAGAGACTCGTTCATATAAAAACTTTATTAAAAAGGAGGACACAGCCCCCCAGAACAACATGCCCAGTACCTCTCAAACTTTTAAAACTCAACAATCATAATTAAATACAAACAGTGTGCACTTCCAGAAAAGGAGAACTAAACCCCAAATTGCTGCTGTTTCAAACATGGCCAGAGATCTTCCACGGTTCAATGTGTGTGGGCACACAGGCAGTGACTGAGGCTGTGAGCTGCCACAACTTGGGTCAGTCTTTATTCTTTTCTGCTTTAAGTGCCATGATGGGTTTTGATATTATTGGAACCTTGTATTGCTTTATTTCAAAGAGAAAGAAGAACAAACTGTTATGGCTTGATGTCTCACCTGATAACGTCACACTGGGTGAATATCCTGCATTTTCATACCTCAGGTTATGCAAAATAAGGTTTTTTTTTATGCTAGTTCTATTTCAATGGTTGATGATTTAAAAAACAAACAAGAATTATTATTGCTGTCACTAGGAAAAAAAAAAAAGCAACAAAAAAGCCAACCCACCTAACCAGGTGAGAAAATAAAAGAAAAATAAGCCCAAGTTTATATGTCTTCTACTTCTACCTGAAAAAACACCTCCTGTCTAACCTAAGACCACATTTAACAGTGCTTTAAGTGCATCAGCAACTATACAATGATTGATGCAGCTGTGCACCATATAGTACTAAAGATACAAAAAAGGGAAGAAGAGTACTTAAAATACGTCTACCTCTTGATTTCCTTATGGAAGTTTTCTGTGTTGCATCATAAAAAGAATTTGCAGCAAAAATAGATTTACAAAAGCTGTTGCGCTCAAGTCAGCGGCATATGTACATCTTTGAATTGGAATAATACAAAAAGTATTCTAGTAGAAAAGGCAATATATAAAATTATATTAAGAGTGCTTTAGAATTATGAAGTTATGAAATTATGTATAGAATCACCAAGGTTGGAAAAGACCAGCAAGTTCATCCAGTCCAACTGTACACCTAGCACCAGTGTTTCCCCACTAAACCATGCCCCTTAGGATAACATCTAAATGTTTCTTGGACACCTCCAGGGGTGGTGACTCTACCACCTCCCTGGGCAGACTGTTCCAGTGCCTGATGGCTCTTTCAGAGAAGAAATGTCTCCTAGTATCCAATCTGAACTTCCCCTGCCCTGCAGCAACACTCCACCGCTGTCTTAGCTAAACCTTGCAGAATTTACTCCAGATCCTAAAGCAAAAATCCACCTCACTGCCTGCAGAATTCGCTGGTGATGTTTGGAAGGGGATAGGCAAAGAGAGTGAAATCCAGGATGTACTTTGGGAGCAGCTCTTTTATCAGCCTGCGCTGGGTGTTGCACAGGTAGTAATGGAGTGTTTCTGCCGTCACCGGCTTGTACCATGACTGCCTTTCTGGGAAGCGGATGAAGGACGGAGCCTGAACTTCCTCCAGGACACGATTGGCGTCCTCGTTCAGCCGCTCATAGGAGCCGATGAAGTCATATCGCACAGCACAGGGCTGGCACAGGTTGTAGATGGGCATCCAGTGCTCATTCATCCTCTCCACCTCTTCGTCCAGCAAGTAGCGGAGAAACTCGGAGAAGGTCACGTCGTCGCCTGCCGACTTCCCCCCGTTCTTTCGATACCGTCTGACTATTTCCACCCCATACTTCTGCTGGTACTCCTTGATCTCCCCAAACTTGTTCCTGTAGGCCGACAGCAGCCTCTCGGCCGGGTTCCTCACAAAGACAAACTTGTAGTAGTTCTTCAGGCGGTAGTTGATCTCATCGGGCGTCATGTCCCCCAGGAACACCAGGTCACTCTTGTGGTCCATCTTCAGCTTGACATTGATGCTCTCCAGCGCCCCATCCAGCACCTTCAGGATGCGCTTCCAGTTGGAGCAGGCCACCTTGGGCACGTAGCAGTAGAGGAAGCGGTACTTATCGCTGACCAGGAGGTGACGGAGGACTGTCCGCCGCTGCCCGGCCGGCAGCTGCCAGACGCTGCGGGGCATGGCCCGCTGCCCGCACACCGAGCGGATGGTGCGGTTGCGGATGTCCCGCAGCACCTCATGCTCCAGATCTCCTCCATGAGTCTCCACCCGCCGGGAAACCTCCCCGGCCGCCGGGTGCAACGGGAGCGGCTTCACCTCGGCCAGGATGCCCTTCTCGATCATCAAGAGCAGACCGCTGGAGGCCAGGATGACGCCGAACATCAGCATGGAGGGCAGCAGCACGGTGCTGCCGCTCCGCAGGCGGGATCGGCTGCACGCCGAGGCGGCCGCCCGCCGCACCTCCCCGGGAAAGGCGGCCCGCGGCGACATGGCCTCGGAGGCGCCGAGCCTCAGCCACCGCCGCTCCGCATGCCGGGGAAGAAGACCGGCAGCGGGGAGGGAGGGCGAGGCGGGGCGGCGGCCGGCAGTGACGGCCTCAGGGGCGGGCTGGGGGCTGGCGGCCATTTCGCGGCGTCCCCGCCCCGCCGCCCGCCCTCACCCCCTTTCCTCTCCCTCCCTCCCCCTCTCCCTGCCGCGGCAGGTCCGGCTCCGCCGGCCGGATGGCTGTAGGTGCATCTTGCAGAGCACCGCTGATTGGGCCAGTCTGCCAGCCCATCAGCGCGTGGAGAAGCGGCACTGAAGGACGTGTGGTGGGGGTGGGGGTGTACGCAATGGTCTCGGAGGTCTTTCCCAGCCTTGATGATGCTAAGATTCCATTAATTGTTATGCCGCACTTTGTTTAACCCTTTAACGTGTTGTTATTTGTATCGTTTCAGCAGCTAAAGGGTGAAAGTGATTTAATACCTCCTATTCTGAACACAGCTGAGAACAGATGTGCCACCACCCGCAAATGGAAGGCCAGCAGCTCCCCAGACTTCTGCAAGTAATTCCTCAGAGGCTCATCCTTGACCTTGGCCAAGTGAGTAGAGCTGAAGTCCTCCTTACACAACCCTGCCTAAGCCCTAAAACAGGTAAGCTGTAACCAGAGAGGCCAATAAGAGCCACACAGGCAGCCCTAACAGCAGGTAACAGTAGAGACTGCATCTTTGTAGCTGGTCTAAACACAGCCCTTTCTGGAGGAGAAATCACGCCATAGGTGCATTGTTCAGCGTATTTTCTTTCAGTGTGCTTCCAGAGCATACCACCATGCTTGCTCTGCTTAGCAAGGCTTCCACGGACTCTCTCTGTCAAAAGCTTTCTTAACATCAAGAGAAAGCGGCTTCCACTTAGTTTTCTTTGATCAGAAGCCAAGAGCATTTTGTCGGCCAAGGCAGACAAAGCATTTGTAGCAAAGCGTGAGAGCCTGAAGCTAGATTATTTTTACATTTTAGTTTTATCTCATTGTAAATATAGCATTGGCTTTAGGAAGATAACATATATTCCACACTGCAGTCAGCAGGGCACCTGTAAACCTGTGCTATCTGTAATCAGGTTCCTGATGTGATTTCAGAGAGTAGGTCCAATCATCTCAATTCTGATCTCAATTCCAGCATAAATTGAAGCTGTGTCACTGTGTTACCTGTGGCACAGAGACGCAAACCAGCCCTGAATGGAAAGCAGGAAGACTGATCAAATTTAACTCTGGTAAAGGCACTATGCTATTTTCAATGCAGCCAAGGGAAATTTTTATTACTTAGAAGGTAGGCTGGGCTGGCATTGCTTGTTTTCTTTTCTTTCTATTCACTTGTGATATAGAATCATAGAATGGTTTAAGATCACCTAATTCCAACTCCCTGATATAAGCAGGGATACCTCCCTTGAGACCGGGTTGTTCACAGCCCCATCCATCCCAAGTTGGATGGGACCTATATCCGTAGGTCTGGTGTGATTTCATATGATAACTGAAGAGGAAGCCTTATATTCAGAAGTGATTCAGAAGTGTGCAGAACTATGGGGATATATGTCAGAGATCTTTTTTTTTTTTTTTTTTTTTTTTTTTCCCCCGCAGAAAAGATGCATTTACAACATAAAATGACTCTGACAAAGACCAAACTTGGGCTACTGGGGGTTAGCTGTAAACTTACACTGCAAAACACAAGTGACAGAATTTAGTTTGCTTGTAGATATGTATGGTGATGACTTCAGTTGGGAGCTTCTCAACAATCCTAATCAGAAACCCTGAAGAATAGCACTTGGCGTATGTGCTGCTTTACCCAACCCCTCTGCTGACTTCGTGGTGATCTTGGACCAACGTTGATACTTGTTTCCCCACTAAAGGTAACTATTTCTGCAGCCTCACCACTCAGCTGGCGCATACTGACAAGCCACAACTGATACTATCAGTGGAGCTTGCTGGAGCATGCAGAGCATTGCATTAAGAAATGACATTCAATGCTGCCTGAAATAAAAGTCTGTTCCTTTGCTTTTTCACATTAAAAAAAAAAAAAAAAGAGAAAGACATCCAGACACCATAAAAATCCACATCTCCTGTAACTCAGCCTGTTTGTCCCCATACTCAACTGCACAGAGCAACCTTCTGAATCCACTCCCACTGTGAGAGCCTGGGAAAACACACAGGCTTTACAGCATGCCCAATGCATTAACCAAGGCCAGCTGTCATTCCTATATATGGGTAAATTGGTGCCTGCTCTTAAATTGTGCCTTTCATCCATAGGAATCCCAAAGTCCCTATAAATGGTGCAGAAGAGAGACATACTGACCAGCCTCAAGTCACAGTAAATTTGTTTGAGCACACAGCATTATAGTGAGCTGCTGTCCCAGCACTGTTTATGATGGGCACGCACAGGTTTAAAGCAGGCTGTAGAACTCAGCCCTGGCCATCAAAAATGAAGAAATCCCCTTATAGGGGATGGAAAGAAAAACTGAAAGCCATCCATGTCCTTCCAGCTCAGAGTGAGGCTGGACCCTGACTGCCATCATAGGCACTGCCACATACCTCTGCTTGGACATAGCTAAATGAGCATGATAGGGTGGGCTGACAACTGGACTTAGGAATCTTGGTGGTCTCTTCAACCTTAACAGTACCACGATTTGGGTAAGGACGTAGTCATGTCCTCTGCTAACCAAGTATTTCTCTGTAATTCCCCCTTTCTCTATATGAACCAAAAAAACTGCAGAAACAGCCTTGTGCAGTGCCTTCTGAACACAACTAAGAATGCATGGGATAATTGTGAGCATGATTAAAATTACTATCACGATTACCATTCAGTGTATCACTAAATCTTTCAGCCATCCTGTAATGCCTAAACTTGCCAGTCATTGCTCTAAGGAGGAATTCTCCACAACTAGCTTTTGGGATAGCTATTGTAGGTCTTGCATGGCTTTATGGATAGATTGTGAATGATCTGAAAGATTCATACAACACATACTGTCAATATCTTCACAGCCATGTGCTAGAAGCAAAAAAATCTATCGCAGCACAGTTCCGCAATGTTGCATGCCATACTGAATCTACATTTAACAATAAACCACTTAAGGCTAATGATGTTGCACTGCCTCCCCCTTTTTCTGTTTAAGTAGCTGCTCTTTTAACACTGTGTGCTTGCTCTACTAGCGACTGGCCTGTAGGTGAGTGGGGGATCCCTGTTGTATGGGCAACACCCAAAAGGGCCAGAACAGTTTGTGCTGCCTTACTGACATACCTGGGCCCATTATCAGTTTTGATTAATCCAGGAATGCCAAGTACCATGAAAACAGATTGAAGATGACGTTGAACATGGCGGCCTGTTTCACCAGTTTGTGCTGTAGCCCATGTAGCATGGAAAAAGATGTCAATACAAACACGTACATACTTCAGCTTTCCAGACTCCGGCATGAGTAACATCCATTTGCCATATCTGTAAGGAATGTAAACCCCGTGGGTTAACTGTCCCCCCCACGGGTAGGCACAATGCCCTGGCAATCCGGGCAGGACTGGACAATACCTTTAGCCTCCACCAGGGGTAGACCAAGCTGTTTTGCAAGAACTTTGGTGAAAGAAATTGTGTTACGCGAATTCATCTGAGGGGAGCCCTGACTAAATAGGTATGACAAGCTATTGACAAGCGTCAGCGCGGTCATTACCCTTCACCAGAATCCCTGATAGTCCAGAATGGCTACAAATATGGCAAATGAAATAGTCATGCATTTTTTGTTCAAGTACAAACCACAAAGTGCAGAACAATGCATATGCTTCTTTCTGCTTACATTCCTTAAGCACCAACCATTCCAATCGCTTGACCACCCCCACTACATACAGAGAATCAGTCGCAATATTCACAGGAACATCAGTTAATCTCTTAAAAAAAAACAAAACACTACAAGAGCCACTTGTAATTCAAGTTGTTGCACCGATCCTGTGCAGCATAACGCTCTTGCCATGAACTACTGTGCTGCCATACAAGGGCTGCCTTTTTGGTTTGACCTCCCACATCAGTAAACACAAAATTATAGAGACATACTTGGTTAGCAGAGGACATGACTACGTGAGTCTAGACTAAGGCCTATGTGCTTTGGTACAAATGCTGCTGTCTCTGGGCAGTCACAGTCTTTGACAAAGTCAGCAAGAGAAAGGAGATGCATAAGCAGAAAAAGAGCTGTACTAGGAAAAAGGAAAGAAGTTACAAAGCTTAGCTGAGGTTAGCTAAGAAAGCTGCCTGTTGCCAATGAATCAGAGAAGAAGCTTGGGTGCATGATCCAAGATCCAAGATACACCTCGTGCTAACTGCATGCTAGATGATCAACTGTAGAGGCATTGCATGTATTTCACACCTGCAACCAATCAGAAGTACACTTCATGTTATACAAGAGTTGTATTTTTTCCAATATACTGCCTCTGCTTTAACTCTATAAAGTGTCAGAATCTGTTTTATTCTCCCAACATAAACTGACTCACCTTTCCAACTGAAAAACTCATTTTAAGACATGTCAAACATGCTGGATGAATATAATAATAATTCAGAGAAGATGGTTATGAGGGGCTAGGTCTATCTTGCCCAGAACAGAAATCACTACTTTCCAGGAAATGCAGTGCTAGAGATCTGCTTATCTTGCATCTGCAAATTAATTGATAAGCAGCTGGCTGAACTTGCAAGGACCTTACGCTGGGTTTAATGCTCTCTTTCCCACCCTGTTGTAATTATAAACTGAAGCTTTTCAGGAAAGCCATTTTTGGTTCCCCTGCCCAAGAAAACTACTACCAGACATGATCAGTGGAAGCCACGTTCAATTTTAGAAGTCAGCAGAGCCCCCAAACTCCCTTTTTCTCATCATCCTCTGTTCCATTTCAAACCCCTCTCAGCCCTTCCCCAGACCAGGGCTCTCTCTGCTTCCCAGTTTCACCCACATCAGACAAACTCATGTCTGTAGCTAGATGTGGCCTTATCATCAATTTTCAGTATTGCACATTAAACTCTACATGGCTTTGATAAGACATCCCATACAAATGGGCCAGGTGTTATTTCCAGTGGGGGAAACAGCATCAGAGGGGTTAACCATCTCATGAAAATACTTTGTTCTCACTAATGCAAAGTTGATAGATTACTAGGAACCCTCCTCCTTCATTACATGTTTTCCTCCCATGCCCCAGCTGAAAGGCAGAAATATCCGTTAAAGAAAAGCAATACTACACAGCAGCTAATAACACTTTTCTGGGTCTGACACCTGAGAGAAGGAAGAAATTGTTCACATCTTTTCATAAAACAAAATTCAACCTGAGTGTCAAAGTAAGAAACAGCGATTTCTTTCCCAGATGAAAGAGCAAAGTGAATGTAATCAAGGCTTCTGGGATCCCCAAACACAATGAGATGCACACTGCCCTGTTCAGCTGTTTTAGAAGAAAATTGAAAAGAAACGAGCCCCCAGACTTATTTCACCAAGACTTATTACCATTAAACACAGGGTGCTGCTAGCACTCAATGAATATCGCCCTGAGTCAGCTCTGGATGAGCAGGGGATGATGCAGACAGTGTTCAACTTGATGGGGACATCTGAAATGGCCCCAACACAGTTGGGTGGTCCTCACCAGAGGGCTGAAAGCTGGGCTGTCTCTGGGTGCTTGGGTTGCTCCTTGGAGATGTATCAGCATGAAGATGGATTACGAAAGGAGAATTCAAGAGTGGAACATTAAGGAGGAAACTCAGGATACAACTCAGGAGGAAACAGGAACAAGAAAAGAGAAAGCTTCATGCCCTGAAAAAAGAACTGTGATAAAACGTGTGCTATTTTAATTAGACAAGCTGACTTCACAAGAACTCAATGCTTTCATTTGTCTCAATCAGTTCAGTTTAAAAGAAGCCTCAAAATACAGAAGTCTGACTCCTCTTGCTTCCTTACCACAGGAAAATGAGCCTTTCTGGAAAAGAGCACTAGATAGCATTTCCCTCCCCTTCATCTGTAAATAATAAAAATGGCATGTTTTCTCCAACATTTTAGAGGAGGAAAAAGACAATTAGAAATCTGACACAGGTTCTGCAGTTCTCACACGTGAAGACATAGGAGTAGGGTTTTGATTCTTAAACCTAAGAAATCCGTTTTAGACCACAACATCCATTGCAAAGGAGGAAATTTAAGCTGGGAGCAAACTTCCGCAATTATCAGGAAAAAAAAACTCCAAGTCAGAAGCATCTCCTCTCGTTGCTGGATAAGGGCCGGTATTGCAGGCAGGCCCTGCTGCTGTCCCAAGTCTATGTTTCCCTATGCACGTGCCTGTGGGGCTGTGGCAGTGGGCACTGCAGCAGTTCCCAGCATTCCCAATCCCATTGGAAAATCTGCTCCCAGCAGGCATTTGGCTTTCATCTTGCAGAGAGGTCAGAACAAAACCCAACCTTGCTTATTTGTGTGCATGGTAGCAGCTAATGCGGTAAAATAAATGGCACTAACATGCCATATAAATCCCTTTTTATAGACTGTAATCGTACAGCACGGTATTAACTCAGCCCTACTCATTAGCTGCACTCTGGTACTGACAGAGAGGATTTTGGAGCTGTGGTTGCAAAAGGAAAAACATCCTTACCACTCCATATCCCAGCCTGGGATCATATGGGGTCACTTCCATTGTTGGATAAGCAGAAACCTATAAGCTGAAAGCAGAACTCCCTCCCTGCTGCCCTTGTGCAAACAGAAGACAAAGTTTGCAGAAAGCAGGCTCTCTTAACCCTGCTCTGCCAAGCTTTTGCTTGATATCCTTTCAAAAATACCTTTCCCCCCATTATAATAGCTTGTGTGTTTTCTAATACTGTATTCCAGTGCCCTAAGACATAACATAGTGGAAAATACTCATCTGCTGCTGGCTTGGTTTAGCATCACTGAACAGATTTGTTTTTAAGAATTATTGGGCATCCAAAAGCCCCTCCAACTGCAGCTTGTTCCTATAGAGCACTCCAAAGAGGTTCACAGAGAAAGAAAAATTAAATATGAAGTGCCAGAGTAAACGGTGCTTCCATGCAGCAGATTGTGTAAATCCAGTTTAAATTGTTTCCTTTATTAAATAGCCTTTCCTCTTATAAATGGATTAGCTGCTTTCACTGGAGGCTCTGACAGAAAAGCCATCTCATCCCTATAGCAACAAGGGACACAAACAGCATGCTCGCTTCCCTGGCAGCTCCTCAGCTCCATATTATCATATTATCTAGCATGGGAAATCTCGGGAGTATTTCCCCTTATTAATTACCTCCTTCAGCACAGAGCAGCAACCAGAGCAGGCACACAAGCTGCTGTGGGTTTGCTTGGCCGGAAGCCACTGCACCATAAGAAGTCACACTAGAAACTTCATGGGACTACATCAAGATCTCCTGATGGAAACAACCCAGGGACCAAAGATACTGTAGAGCCTGGACCTGTGCTGCCCTACTCCCTGGGCTTTATGGATGTTCCAATTAGGACACAATTCAACGTCACTGTAAACCATCTCTTGGCGGGGCCGGTGGGGCCCCCCCCCCCCCCCCATTTTGTTCCCAGAACTTATTTCCCCCCTTCCCACGCACGCAAGGCTCCAGCTCTAAATAGTACACATGATTATTTACAGAAATAACCCACACCAAGGGCCAGCTGCCCAGTCAAGAGCTAAATCACATCTCCCCACTGCTTCGTACTCAGGTCTCAGCACAGTCTCACTGCAGAGGGCACCAAATCGTCAAAGTCACTGCAGCCTTGGGGTGAGCAGCTTTGGCAGCAGGTTTTTGCTTGCAGAGCTGCTCCCCAACACTGTGAAATCTTAAGCTTACCATCTTCAGACCACACTCACCTGCATTCAGGGTGTTTTCCAGCAGATCCTATTCTCATAGAGGTCCTGACCCAGTTGCGTGATTTCAGACAGGCTATAATTTGCTGCAGCTTTTGCTCCCATTTGGGTTCTTCCTTGTCTTATGGGCACATCAATGGAGACCACACAGTTGTCAGTTCCATTCTTGGTGTGAGGATGGACAGAGCTGGGAGCTGTGGGGCTGGAATGCTCCCGTGCTGACAAAAGCTGATGGCGATGATACCAAGTAAAAGACACTGAGCATAGTGATGCTCTTTATAAGATGCTTTTCCTAAGAGAAGAAATGCACTCCTTTACAGTGTTTCTAAAGTACAGATTGATACATCAAGCCTTCCGGAGACTATCTTTGCCACTAGCACCTTCCCTCTCTAAAAGGCAGATGCTTAATAACAATCCCTATGACAGCAGCTGCTGAGAAAAGATTGGAAAAATAAAAGGTAAAATTAATCCCCTTAACCGATCATTCCTTTCTTTGTTCATCTTAGGACTGCATCCCAGCAAGGATGGGGGTGGAAAAGCATTGGAATCACTCCCTAAGTACCCAAGCCCCAGAATTCAGTCCCACACTGGTACTCTCCAAGCACTTAAGAACTTTAACTCCTCTTTTGACAACCCAGGAAAAGAAGAATAGAGTTCCACTGATTTGTTTTCTAAATCAATACAATTTTTCAAATTTATTTTTTAAGAATTACTTCTAATATATCTTTCTCACAGAAGAAGAGTATAGGGAATGTTTTCATTCCATCTGTAAACACTGAAATACAGATCTGGGAAACCAGGGAAAAGACACAAAAAAAGTGCATTTTACAAAATTATCAACTAAAATATATTTTACATGTTTACGTTTCAATTTAAATTCTACCGACTGCATTTTCAGTTTCAAAAAATATTTCCATATCTAATAGATTAAAAAAGCATGAAATATTTTCATTATGGATAAGACATTTCAATCCATTTACATGCTGTTTGCACAACAGCATAAGCAACCACGTGAATCTCAAACAATGTTCTTGGCCTGAAGCAGATTATAACGTGAGAAGTTGGGATTTGTCCTCTTGGGACACAACACAGCCCATTCTATGCCCAGGACAAGCACAATTTCTCTTTTACTCGGGGAGGAGCCAGGACAAAGGTGGGAGCAGAGGGGGAGAGGGGTTCAGAAGGAGGAATTTCAGCGTGTTATTGTGGTTTCCAAGACTGAGTTTCAAATCTGGTTGGTTCAAATCTGGCTGGTGTCGAGCCAGAAACTTTGGGTTCTTTGATCATGGGGCAGTTTACTCAGCCCCTGGCCTGCTGTCTGCCTGTGGAACCCACCTATCTCGAAGCGGGCAGCAAATACTGGCACAGGAACTAGAGGGGCTTATTGAAAGAGCTTTAAACTAGCTATGAAGGGGGAAGGGGACAAAACAGGCCTCTCAAGAGATGAGCCTAGGGGAAAGGTGCTCGAGCAGGGGATGAGGCAGATGACTCATCTGAAATGTGTCTATACCAATGCACGCAGCATGAGCAACAAGCAGGAAGAGCTGGAAATGATTGTGAGTCAGGCTAATTATGACTTTGTTGCTACTTCCGAAACATGGTGGGACCACTCCCATGACTGGAGTGCTGTGATAGCTGGTTACAAGCTCTTCAGAAGGGATAGACGAGGAAAGAAGGGTGGTGGTGTGGCCCTTTATATTAAAGACTGTTTCGATGTAGAAGAACTTGGGGTTGGGAATGATAGAGTGGAATGTCTATGGGTAAGGATCAGGGGGAAGGCCTGTAGGGGTGGCATCTTGGTGGGGGTCTGTTATAGACCACCTAATCAGGACGAAGAGTTGGATGAGGCATTCTATGAGCAGCTCGCAGAAGTCACGCGATCGCCAGCACTTGTTCTGATGGGAGACTTCAACTTCCCTGATATATGTTGGAAATATAACATAGCGGAGAGGAAGCAGTCCAGGAGGTTTATAGACTGTGTGGAAGATTGCTTCCTTATGCAACTGGTAGGAGAGCCTACCAGGGGTGGTGCCCTGCTGGACCTGGTTTTTGCTAACAGAGGACTGGTGGGCGAAGTGAAGGCTGGGGACTGTCTTGGACAGAGTGACCACAGAATTGTAGAATTCTCCATTCTTGGGGATGTCAAAAGAGTGGTCAGCAGAACTACCTTCTTAAACTTCCAGAGGGCAGACTTTGACCTGTTCAGGGAGCTTGTAGCGCAGGTCCCTTGGGAGTCGCTTCTCAAGGGTAAAGGGGCCCAGGAAGCCTGTACGCTCCTCAAGACCGAAATCTTAAAGGCACAAGAACAGGCTGTCCCTGAGAGCCATAAGGCGAGCTGCAGGGGAAGATGACCGGTGTGGATGAGCCGGGAATTACTGTTGAGACTCAGGGAGAAAAAGAGAGTCTACATCCTTTGGAAGAAGGGACAGGCTGCTCAGGGAGATTACAAAGTAGCTAAGGTATGCAGGGAGGAAGTTAGGCAGGCGAAAGCCCAACTTGAGCTCAGGTTGGCCTCTGCAGTAAAAGACAACAAAAAATCCTTTTATAAATATATCAATGGGAAAAGAAGAATCAAAGATAATTCTCATCCTATACTTGATGCAGCAGGGAATGTGGTCACTGAGGACAATGAGAGGGCTGAGATCCTTAATGCCTTCTTTACATCTGCCTTTAACAGCCAGATCAGTTATCCTCTGGGCTTTTTATGCCCCAATCTGGAAGTCTAGGACACTGCACAGACTATGCCCCCAGCAATTCCAGTGGAGACAGTCAGAGAGCTCCTCCTCCATCTGGACTGTCACAAGCCCATGGGATCGGATGGGCTGCACCCTCGGGTGCTGAGGGAGCTGGCGGGGGTGACTGCTGAGCCCCTCTTGGCCATCTATCAATGCTCCTGGTTAACTGGTGAAGTCCCAGAGGATTGGAGGCTTGCTGATGTGACTCCCATCTTCAAGAAAGGCCGTAAGGAGGATCCGGGGAACAATAGGCCTGTCAGCCTGACCTCAGTACCAGGGAAGGTTATGGAGCAAATCATCTTGGATGAGATTGCACAGCATGTACACAGAGTCCAGGGGATCAGGCCCAGCCAGCACAGGTTTGTGAAAGGCAGGTCGTGCTTGACCAACCTCATCTCTTTCTACGACTGGGTGACTAGTCTGATAGATGAGGGAAGGGCTGTTGATGTAGTCTTCCTAGACTTCAGCAAAGCCTTTGACACGGTCCCTCATAGGCTTCGTCTGGGGAAACTGGCTGCCCAAGGTCTGAGCAGATATACACTTCTTTGGGAAAGGAACTGTCTACAGGGCCATGCCCAGCAGGTCGTGGTGAATGGAGTGAAGTCCAGCTGGTGACCCGTTTCAAGTGGTGTCCCCCAGGGGTCGGTAGTGGGACCCATCTTGTTTAATATCTTTATTGATGACCTAGATGAAGGGATTGAGTGCACCATCAGCAAGTTTGCAGATGACACCAAGCTGGGAGGTGGTGTTGATCTGCCTGAGGGTAGGGCAGCCCTTCAGAGGGATTTAGACAGGCTGAACCACTGGGCTGAGGTGAATGGGATGAGGTTCAACAAGGCCAAGTGCCGGGTTCTGCACTTTGGCCACAACAACCCCATGCAGCATTATAGGCTTGGGGATGAGTGGCTGGATGATTGTGGAGAAGAGAAGGACCTGGGGGTGTTGGTTGATGCTCGGCTGAACGTGAGCTGACAGTGTGCCCAGGTGGCCAAGAGGGCCAACAGCATCCTGGCCTGCATTAGAAATAGTGTGGCCAGCAGGAGCAGGGAGGTGATCATCCCCCTGTACTCAGCACTGGTGAGGCCGCACCTTGAGTACTGTGTTCAGTTTTGGGCTCCTCACTACAGGAAAGATGTTGAGGTCCTGGAGCATGTCCAGAGAAGGGCAACGAAACTGGTGAGGGGTTTGGAGCACAAGTCTTGTGAGGAGCAGCTGAGGGAGCTGGGATTGTTCAGCCTGGGAGAAGAGGCCAAATCCCTCTTCACCACAACCTCCCTTCA